AAAAAAAAAAAAAAAAATCCCAGTAGGGCCTCCAAAATGTTAGGTCAGGCCCAAGGGGGCGAAGGGGGGTGTCTGGTGTGCAATCCAGTGCCGTGAGAAAGATGCAAAGAATTGCACAGAAGTTAGAATGGAAAATATAGTTTATTTAGAAAGTAAATAAGAGAGAGAGAGAGAGGAAATTCACCTCTCCAAGGCAGAAGAGGGGGCCCAAACTGAGAAACCTGGTGGCCATAGCTCAAAGAGCCATGGGGACACACCAGAGTTTAACAAAGCAATAGTACTAATGTTTTATTAAAGAAGGAAAAGATAGACTGGTAAAAAGTAGCTAGGCAGGGTGCCACATGCCTGCTGTCCCAGTTACTTGGGAGGCTGAGGCGGGAGGTCAAGGCTGTGGTGAGCTATGATCATGCCACCGCACTCCAGCCTGGACAACAGAGTAAGGCTCCAATTTAAAAAAATATATACATATAGCTAGTTCTGTGGGGACATTTAAGGTAGTGGTTCTCAACCTTGCTACACATTGAAAACTCCCAATGTCTAGGCCCCACCCCACGAAAATTAAATCAAAATCTCTGTTGGGGGGAAAATTACGTAGCAGTACTTCTTAAAGCTTCTCAGTGATTCTCATGTACAACCAAGACTGAGAGTCACTGTTTTCAGAGGTGAAAATGAGCTCCATAGGAAGGAACTATGCCTGAGTATCTCTACAAGCTCAGAACCTGGTACCAGCTTGGCAGGGAGTGAGCATTCCATGATGTTTGTGAACAAACAGACGGGAAAAGCACAAGGGCACAGGAGGTTTCTCACGCGACACAGGATACACACCTGAAGAATGTGGCTTACCTCGACAGCATAGCAGAAATCGGCACCTGCTGTGACCGCCATCATTGACAAGAGTCCCGTGCCAGTACCAATGTCGAGAACCAAGGCCTTCTGTCCTCTATCCTTCACCCTGCTCACAGCAGCCTGTATGCCCTGGTAATATTTTATATTCTAAGAAGAAAGAGAGGAAGGAATACCTGTCACTTCATACCAGTTATTATAAGTGAAAAAGAGGTTTCCAAAGTTCCAAAGTCATGCCTGGCAGCGGCAGTGTAAGTCATGACCCTAGGGCCTTTCTGGCCCCTCATGGAACAGCAGTGCAAGCAGAGTTGGGCAGGGCTTGCGAACCTCCAAGAGCACTGGGTCAGCTCTTCCCCTTTATTTCCTAACTGTCCCCCCTCCACACTCACTCTTCTATACTCTGCTCAGTGATGCTGGGGCTGGGGCCCTACAGACCACGTTTTCCTTTTTCCAGCTGTTAGGTACAGCCAATGGGGAACAAAGAGGGCCACTGGAAGGTAGAAGGAAGGAGAAGGCTTGCTCCTTTCCGCATGGCTGCTGCTCTCATCAGGGTGCTCTCAGTAATGGCAGTTGCCTGCTAACTCCAACTTCTCCTAGTATTCACATAACCAGCCTCCTCAAGCCTCTCAGAGCAGTAGCAGCAGCAGCAGCAGCACCTGAGCAGCAATCCTTCTCAGAGATGCTCTGAGTTCTGGAAAATCAGTATAGTTTCCTAGCCCTAGGCAAGGTAATGACTCCTTGCAAATTCTTCTGCTGGGCTAGCTCAGTGTTCCCATTTGCTTTCCAGTCCTCTCACTTGGGTAACCAACTCTCATTGTTAAAGTCCCTCTACTCCAATATAGAATGTAGCTTTTGTTTTCCTTTCTGGACTCTAACTCATATAGCTTCCTCATCTAGAAAGTATATTCCCTCTCAGGAAATAATTCCTTTGCATCTTGATGGTTCTTAGCTCAGGTCTTTAGTAACTCCTTTGCATCTTGATGATTTTTAGTTCAGGTCTGCCTAAATAGGTACTCTGACCCTTTTGTTGAAAATAACCAAAAATTAGCCAAGCATGGTAGCACACACCTGTGGTTCCAGCTACTTGGAAGGCTGAGGAGGAAGTATCACATGAGCCCAACAGGTCAAGGCTGCAGTGGCCATGAGCCTGCCACTGCACTCCAGCCTGGGCAACAGAGTAAGACGGACTCAAAAAAAAAAAAAAAGAAAGAAAAGAAAAGAGCTAAAGATGATAAAAAAGGAGGTTCATAAATCTTTTAAATACATTTTGATGACCTGGCAACTTAGTAAGAAGTATTAATAAACTATCAAAATTCAAGATAATTTCTAATGCAACAGTAGATAACTAGTACTGGACTGGTATCAAAAAGGCTATGGTCTCTGACCACAGTGCAATCCAATTGGAAATCTCAATAACAGAACTATAACTAAAGAAAAAAAGATTTTGTTTTAACTTATTTTTTTACTCTCCAGCTGCTGTCTCTGCTTGGTCTGGCAGAAAAAAAGATTTCTGAACATTAAGAAACACACTTCTAAACTCACAGGTAAAAGAATAAATCAAGCTACTTGGAAGGCTGAGGTGGAAGGATCGCCTGAGCCCAGCAGGTCAAGGCTGCAGTGGCTGTGAGCATGCCACTGCACTGCAGCCTGGGTGACAGAGTGAGACTTCGACTCAAAAAAAAAAAAAAAAAAAATGAGTGAAGAAAAACAGACACATAAGACCACATATTGCCTGATTTCATTTACATAAAATTTGTATAAAAAGCAAAACTCAACAGACAGAAAGCAGATCAATAGGTGTTACCTGGGATTAGGGGTGGGATTGACCATGAATAGCCATAAGATAATTTTACGGGATAATGGAAATGTTCTAAAACAACAACAAAATGCAAGGCATCATGCAAAAGTGCAGTAAAAAGAAATATACTTTATACGGTGTGTGTATATATATATATATTTGACCTTGCCACTAACCAACAAGTTTTGATTGCATTTTCTCATCTATAGAATTGGGAAGGGACTGGCCAAGTATGGTGAGTCACATCTATAATCCTAGCACTTTGGGAGGCCAAGATAAGAGGATTGCCTGAGCCCACAGGTTCAAGACCAGCCTTGGCAAGACCTCACCTACAATAAATAAAAAAATTAGCCGGGTGTGGTGACATGTGCCTGTAGTTTCAGCATTTGGAAGGCTGAGGTGGGATTGCCAGAGACCAGCAGGTCAAGGCTGCGGTGGCCATGAGCATGCCTCCAGCCTGGGCAACAGAGTGAGATTCCAACCCAAAAAAAAAAAAAAAAAAAAAAAGAATTGGGAAGGAGAGTAGAAGCTTGAGGGTTAAAAAATGAGGGGTCATGAATATTCGACAAAGAAATTTGGATTTTTACCTTGAACACAGTGAGAAGTCACTGAAGGGTCTAAGCAGAGAAGTTTCATTGACAGATTAGCATTTTAGAAAGACCCCTTGGGTTGCTGTAAGGAAGAAAAGAATGGGCCAACACCAGTCCATGAAGGCTGAGCAGGGAGGCAGGGCTGGAAAAATCAATGGAATTTGATGACAGACTGCAGGCTCAGATGTCGTAAAAGGAGCCACCTTTCTGGCTATGCTGATTGGATGAATAGATATGCCATTTGTCTAAATCCCCTGGTGGATGGGGCAAAAAGGACCCTCTCTGTAGGTGATGCTAAAATCAGAGAAGCTCATAGTCCCAAGAGATAAGAAGCCAAGACCATGAAGCTAGAGAGGTTTAGTCAAAAGTCAAGAACAGTATTTTTCCCACATTCTATAATTCCCCACAGCTAAGCAAAGGCATTCAAATATTCATGAAAATCAGGGAGGCACTCAGACTCTTTGGTATAACCTACACATTAAAAGTGTTTAAGGGCCGGGCTTGGTGGCTCAGCCTGTAATCCCAGCACTTTGGGAGGCCGAGGTGAGTGGATTGCCTGAGCCCGCGGGTTCGAGACCCGCCTGGGCAACTTGGCGAGACCTCATCTCTACAATAAATCAAAAAATCAGCCGGGCATGGTAGCACGCGCCTGTTAATTCCGGCTACTCGGAAGGCTGAGGCGGAAGGATCGCCGGAGCCCAGCAGGTCGAGGCTGTGGTGGCCAGGAGCAGCCACTGCACTCCAGTCTGGGCTCCAGTCCAGTGAGACTCCAACTCAAAAATCAAAAAAAGTGTTTAAGGCCAGGCACAGTGGTTCATGCCTATAATCCCAGCACTTTGGGAGGCCAAGGTCATAGGAATGCTAGAGGCCAGGAGTTTGAGAACAGTTTGGACAACAAAGCAAGAACTCATCTCTACAAAAAATAAAAATATGGTGGCATGCATCTGTACTTTCAGCTACTTGAGAGGCTGAAGCAAGAACATCTCTTGAGACCAGAAGTTTGAGACTACAGTGAGGTATGATTGTGCCACTACACTCCAGCCTGGATGACATAGTGAAATCCTATCTCCAAAAAAAAATGTTTAAGAAGGTTCTCCTGTCAGAGTGCTTCCAAGAAGACTGGCTGAGAAGTTGCCCGGGATTGGGTGAAGGAAACACCACCACCAACACAGCCACATGGCTAACCTTGCCACGTGCCATGATCCCCTTCTGCCTTACACGGCTCAGTTTTTAGGCTTCCTTCCAGCCTTCAAGCCTCTCGGCAACTGAACCACCCGAATGGGGCAAACTAGTCAAGTACTCTGGTAGACCAGGAAGTTCTGGGTTGTTAACCATCATAAAACCAGAAGTGCACTGCTCCATAACTCCAACAGGAAAAGAAAACTCACATAAACCACAAACGTCAAAGAGAAGAGTTTAAATGTAATTCTGCAATAAAGGGCAAATGTGCTTTACAAAATATAGCCCCCAGTGAACTCCAGAGGCATGATTTTAAAATAACAAACTGACTACACAAGGTGAAACATCATATACTTAGATAATTTTTATCTAGAGGATGTCATGAAGATCAGCTAGTATGTTCCACTCATTTTAAAACTGAATAAATGTGGTCTGCAGAGGTTGCATGTCTTCTCCAAGGTTATAGTCAGGTCAATAGCAGAGCCACCACCAATGAATGGATAAGGAAAATGTGGTGTATATATACAATGAATGGACCTGGAGGACATTATACTAAGCAAAATAAGCCAGACACAGGAAGGCAAACTGCAGGATTTCACTTATATGTGAACTCTAAAAAAGTTGAACTCATAGAAGCAGAAAGAATGGTGAGGGAGGTGTTGGTCAAAGGGCAATGTTTCAGTGAGGATGAATAAGTTCTGGAGGCCTATTCTAAACCATTAACAATAATGTAGCAGGGTACAGTGGCTCACACCTATAATTCCAGTACTTTGGGAGGTGGAGGCAAAAGGACTGCCTGAGCTCAGGAGTTCGAGACCAGCCTAAGCAACATGGTGAGACCTTGTCTCCACAATAAATCAAAAAATCAGCCAGGTATGGTGGCACACGCCTGACTTGGAAGGCTGAAGTGGAAGGATAGCCTGAGCCCAGCAGGTCGAGGCTGCAGTGGCCATAAGCATACCACTGCATTCTAGCCTGGGTGACAGAGTGAGACCTCAACTCAAAAAGATAAAAAGAAAAAAGAAAAAGAATAACAGAGCCAGTCTCCCAACTGATTTCCTGACCACTTAATCACACTGCCTCTTACCATCAATCTAACATCATGACCCCCAAAGGATTTTAACCTTTAAACCTAAGATTTCAAAATAGTACATCAATATAAGTTTCCTTTTATACTTACTCTGTCTTTGTCATGCAGCATATCTGCATAGGATGACCTAAAAAACAAAAAAGACAGGTCAGAAACCTTTGTTAATGATATACATCAACACATGAGAGCTTCACATATATAAGTATATTCCTAAATCCAATGGAACAAATGTGTCATCCGTTTTGAGCTTTTTTGTTTCTTTGTTTCTTTTTCTTTTTCTTTTTTGAGTTGGAGTCTTGCTCTATCGCCCAAGCTAGAGTGCAGTGGCACACTCACAGCCACCGAAGTCTTGACCTGCTGGGCTCAGGCGACCCTTCTGCCTCAGTCTTCCTAGTAGCTAGAACACAGGCATGTATCATTATGTCCAGCTGATTTTTTTGATTTATTGTAGACGACATCTCACCAAGTTGCCCAGGTTGGTCTTGAACCCTTGGGCTCAGGCAATCCTCTTGTCTCCACCTCCACCTTACAGGCATGAGCCACTGCATCCAGCTTTTTTGTTTTCTTGAAATAGGGTCTCAAGTGTTTCCCAGGTTGAAATGCAGTGGTTATTCACAGGTATACCCATAGCACACTACAGCATCCTCCAACTTCTGGGCTCAAGCAATCCTCCCACCTTAGCCTCCTGAATATACACCTATAGCTAGGGCTACTGGCATGCACCAACCCACCCAAACATTTTAAACAGTTATAATAGAGTTATAAGCTGTCACTCTCTAGTATGCAGAAAAAAATTTCAGAGACAGATGTCCTCAGATCTAAAAATGTTTGGTAGTTAACCCTGTCAAAGTAATTGCACAGCCACTAGCATCCTAATCATGTCATACATTACACACTTTCTTCCTCAGGAACAACTCAATCCATGGATGTAATACTAGGAAGAGGAGCCAGGGAAAATGAAAGTAATCATATTCACCTTCTGTGTAAGTGAGGGCCACCATGCCTGGCATTTTCACTTATCAGGGAAAACTAAGAGTTCACCAAATACAGAGGGTTAAAGGAAGGAGAGTCACTTCTCCATATTTTCTACCATAGTAATTCACAAATCTGAAACCCTCTGTCAGGGTCAGAATGAGCACCCAGAACTCAACAAGTCATCCTGAAGACGCTTTCTGGGAGTTCCGGGGAGAGCTAAGGTAACATCACTAAAACAGGCCTTCCACCAGCTTTGGGTAAACACCAGAAGCACTGGAGAGCTTATCTGAAATGTAGATTCCCAGGACACACAGAGATCCAGGTCAGGCTGGAGTCTGGAAAGTTGCACTTGAAATGGTGCTTGCAAATGTGACACAGGCAGTCCATACTCTATACTCTGAGAAGCATTTCACTGAAAGAATGGGGTTCTTTCATTTTTTTTTTTTCTTGAGTTGGACGTCTCACTCTGTCGCCCAGGTTGGAGTACAGTGGCACGCTCACGGCCACTGCAGCCTCAACCTGCTGGGATCAGGCAATCCTTCTACTGGAACTACAGGTGTGTGCTACCACATCTGGCTAATTTTTTGATTTATTGTAGAGACGAGGTCTCGCCAAGTTGCCCAGGCTGGCCTTAATCTCCTGGGCTCAAGCAATCCTCTTGCCTCCACCTCCCAAAGTGCTGGGATTACAGGCTTGAGCCACTGAGTCTGGCGGGGTTCTTTTTTTTAAATAGCATACCAAGATTTTTACATCTGAACCCAGCTACATATGTGTAGTTGAAATGTGGTCCTTTCTACCTATGTCCACTTTTGAACGGGCATTTCACTCACCATATTCCTGGCCTCATCACCCACTCAATCCTCATCACTCCACTGACATCACTGTCAGTAACCAGCACCGGCTCATTCCTGTAGCTAAGATTAGTCTGGGACTTCTCCAGGCCTCTGACTCTGCTAGACACTCCCTCTTTCCTTCTTCCATGCTAACCATACCTTTCTGCTTCTCTTCTTGCCTCCTCAGCTATTCCAGGATTCCTTCTTCATTCCCCTGGTTTTCACATTCCACAACCTCTTTGACAGACTGCAAACTCACCCAGTTTCAACTGTAACAACTGCAAATTCTTATCTCCAGATCCACAATTCTGTCTGCCTACTGGCACCCCATCTGGATCTCCAAACCAAATAACTAATCTCCATTACCTTCTCTCCTAATACCTCCCATTTCTCCTGGGTCCTCCCTCCCAGGGAACAACAACTTGATCCATTTTGTCATTCTAACCAGAAATCTTGGTGCTTCTTGAACTTTCTCTCTCCCCCCATCACTGCATCTGGTGAGTTATCAAGCTCAAGCTTCCTCAAGCTATCTCTTTTTTTCTCTGCATTGGAACAGTAATATCCACCCAAACGCTCTCTCCCTCCAACCTACTTCCTACACTGCTCTCAGTGAGTGTTCTAAAATGCAACCTAATTTTCTTTCTCTCCTGTGTAACATCTCAATCACTCAGAAAATAATGTCCAAAATCTTTAGAAGTCATGTAATACCTTTGAGTCCTTATTCTGTACCAAACACCATATTACTTTTAATCAACAAACAATTCTAAGATAAAGGCATTATACAGTAAAGTACATATTATTATATTAAGGCTCAGAGAAGTAAAGTAGCTTGCCAGCATTCTGGAGTTCAGAAGTCCTAGAGGCTAGACTTAAAATCATGTTCCTCTTCCTGCATTTTGTTACAATGCTTTACTTCCAGGCCCAGCTTACCTTTCAGCAGCCTCTCTCACCACAGCCCTGCTTTTACACCCTCTCCAGCCATACTAAACTGCTAGTTGCTCCCCAAACTGGCCCAAATGGAAGTTGACATGCAATCCCTGCTGTTTAAACTTCAATTGCCCCCTCTTTAGAATTGAGAAATCACTCAAACATCACCCCTACCCCAAGTCCAACTGGTTCTTGCGGCTTCCGTGACCTTCTGTGCCCATTTCCAGTGGCCTTTGTCTTACTGTACTACAAATTTTTTATATATCTGCCTCTTCCACAAAACTACATGGTCTTTGAAAATGGGAACTAGATCCTCTTCATCTTGGTATCCACAGATCTCACAATGCTGGCATGCTGAATGCACTTAATGACTGCTAAATAATGATCAACTTACATACTTTTAAACAATTCTTCCAAGGGAAAAAAAGTATTTTTCACTTGTTTCATTCAAGAGAATTTAATCATATGACGAATTTATCACCATCTCAGTGACCAAAATACATAACTTTCATAAACTCTACTACCACCGAGCCTTGGATCCTCTTTGCTCCACTAAATAGATCCTCTGAGACTCTGGTGATGTCTGACACTCCAAACAGGCATGACTTTGCCTAACTTACACACACACCTTCCTGGCTGAGCAGACCTACTCAGGACCAACACCTGCCATGATTGTAAACACAAGTGACAGCCTAGTTCACACCCAGATTGTATTCCAAGGTATCTGCTTTAAGAGCAAGTGTCCCACCCAGCTGCAGCTAACTGTGAACCAACACTTGTTACCTTGCAATTTCCTGGTGGTAATCATAGTCCTCATCCTCCTCCAGCCACTCCATGGACCCCGTAGTAGGATTGGTCCTGCTGCAGAAGACCTTCATGGTGCCAATCAGTTCCTTAGTTTTAGGACAGAAAAGCAGGTTTGCCAGTTCAGTTCTCGTGGACAGGCCTGATGGTCAGAAATCTATTAACATCATGATGCCCAAAAATGTGGAGGGGAAAGGAAGAGACAAAAAAGGTGAAAAAAAAAAATCAAGAAATTGACAAAAATATCAAAGCCATTGAGAGTATTTGTTAATCAATATTTTAATATTTCCAGCAAGAGCTATTTGGTTTTATAGTCAGCACATAACATCAAAAACTATAGTAAGTTCATTAAAATGCCTGGAAACTTCAGCAGTCCTTAGCACTTCCAATAGGGCCAAATGAGCCCTCAGAAAAGCAGGTGAGCAAAGGGCTGGTGGGAGGAGAACAAAAGATGGGGTGGTGGTAAGGAGTGCCACCGATACTGCCGCAGCACACCAAACACTTCAATTAAGAAAAACTACAAGGCCAGGCACGGTGACTCAAGCCTGTTATTCCAGCACTTTGGGAGGCTGAGGTGAGTAGACTGCCTGAGTCCATGGGTTTGAGAACAGTCTGGGCAACTTGGTGAGACCTCGTCTCTAAAATTAATCAAAAAATTAGCCAGGTGTGGTAGCGCGCATGCCTGTAGTCCCAGCTACTTGGAAGAAAAAAAAAGAGATAGGTCTTGCTTATGTTGCCCAGGCTAGACTCAAACTCCTGCACTGGAAATTCTCCCACATCAGCCTCCCAAGAAGCTGGGACTATATGCATGCACCACCAAACCCAGCTGATGTTAGCACTCTTTTTCTTTCTTTTTTTTTTTTTTTTTTTTTTTTTTTTTGAGTAGGAGTCTCACTCCATCACCCTGCTGGAGTGCAGTGGCACTCTCACAGCCACCATAGCCTTGACCTGCTGGGCTCAGGCGATTCTTCTGTTTCAGGCTTCCAAGTAGCTGGAACTACAGGTGTGCGCCACCACACCCAACTAATTTTTTTATTTACTGTAGAGACAAGGTCTTGCCATGTTCCCCAGGCTGGTCTCAAACCCGCGGGCTCAAGCAATCCTCTCACCTCCGCCTCCCAAAATGCTGGTGGTATAGGTATGAGCCACCACACCGGCTTTTTCTTTAAGAGATAGGATCTTGCTATGTTGCCCAGGCTGGACTCAAAGTCCTAGGCTTGTAATCCTCCCACATCAGTCTTCCAAGAAGCTGGAACTATATGCATGCATCGCCACACCCAGCTAATATTAGCACTCTTTTCCTTTTTTTTTTTTTTTTTTTTTTTTTGAAACAGGGGCTCACTCTTTGCTCAGCCTGGAATGCAGTAGTGCAATAATAGTTCATTGCAGCCTCTAATTCTTGGGCCCAAGTGTTTCTCCTGTCTCAGCCTCCCAAGTAGCTGGAACTACAGGCATGTACCACCACGCCAGCCTAATTTTTTTTTTATTTTTGTAAGGACGGAGTCTCTCTAGTTGTCCAGGCTGGTTTCCAACCCCTGGCCTCCAGCAATCCTTCCACCTAGCCCTCCTAAAGTGCTGGCATTACAGGTATGAGCCACTACACCTGGCCAGCATCCTTTATGCTTCACTACCTTTTATAGTGATTACTTTTCAAAATTTAATTTTAAAAGCAATTTTTAAAAACCTTTCTCCAGCCGGGCTCGGTGGCTTAGTCTGTAATCCCAGCACTTTGGGAGGCCAAGGTGAGTGGATTGCCTGAACCCACAGGTTCGAGACCAGCCCGGGCAACTTGGCGAGCCCTCATCTCTATAATAAATCAAAAATTAGCTGGGCGAGGTAGCACGTGCCTGTAGTTCCAGTTACTTGGAAGGCTGAGGCGGGAGGATTGCCAGAGCCCAGCAGGTCAAAACTGGGGTGGCCATGAGCATGCCACTGCACTCCAGCTTGGGCTACAGAGTGAGACTCCGACTCCAAAAATAAAATTAAAATAAAATAAAAAACTTTCTCCGTCTAAAACAAATTTTGCTTCAAATAAAAAAAGTCACTAGATTCATGTCTTGCATGGCCTGTCTCTCCAAAAAGATCTATTTCTGGGAGGCAGAGAAACACCACAGCTCAAAGTCTGAAGGTACCCCTCAGCGGGCTTGGGCTCTCCCAGTACCCATCCATCTTACCATTCAGAAAACAGTAGGTGTTCCATACTCCCCTTCCTTTCTTGTTAAACACTGGTGCATCTTCAGGAAACCTCAGAAAGAAGAGTGCCTCCGCCACAGGTCCCTAAACATTCCTAAGACATTTTATTGACCAGAGTTTTTTTTTCTTTTACTTTCTTTTGAAGTTATCTAGGCTAAGTAAACATCGAATTCTTACAAAAGCAGATAAGAAATAATCTTCTCTGAAAAGACTCAGGCAGTCACTAGCATGGTTCAAAGCAGTCAATCTGAGCTGGGAGTGGTGGCTCATGTCTATAATCCCAACACTTTGGAGGCAGAGGCCAGAGAATTGCTTGATTCGAGGTTCAAGACCAGCCTGGGCAACTTGGCAAGACCTCATCTCTACAATAAATTAAAAAATTACCCAGGCATGATGGTGTGTGCATATGGTTCCAGCTACTTGGAAGACTGAGGCAGAAAGATCACCTGAGCCCAGCAGGTCGAGGCTGCAGTGGTCGTGAGCATGCCACTGCACTTTAGCCTGGGCAACAGAGTGAGACTCCAACCCCCGCCCCCCCCCCAAAAAAAAACCAGTGCAGTAAAGAATTTTAATCTTTGGAATTCCTTTCTTGTCTGTGATGTTGCTGAGGCGGTAACTAGGCCCACAGTATTTTTTTAGAACTGGGAACCATATCCTGTGTTAATTTTATAAACAGATAAACCTCTTCTGGGTGGGCACTAAACATCTTCTATGGCTAAATCCCCTAATCTATTATTATGACTTGTCCTCTCCCAGAAATGAGCCCACACGGCAGATTTAGGAGACATTCTCTGATCTCTTCACTTTCCAAGAACTGTAAACTCACACGATAATTTATAAGGAAGGAACAGAAACCACCACGCCAAGCCCTAATTACATCAGATTTCAGGGAGGATGTTCTGTTCATTAATTCAAAATTTATTAAGTACCTTCTATTTGCCAAGAACTATACTAGGGACTGGAGCCACTATCACAGATAAGACAGAGAAGGTCCTGGCTCTCCAAGAGTTTATTTAGACTCTAACGGGGAAGAGAATAATATAAGCAATTACAGACTTTATGGGTGCAAGAAAAAAAGACACACAGGAAAGAGAAAACAGGCTATAGAAGAACCTTCTGAGGAAGGCGGCATTTGAAAACAGCAAGACCAGATTAAAGGGTGGGAAGAGTAGTTTTTACATGTCAGGAGTCCTTTCCCAAGAAAAGGCCCCACGGCAGAAAAAACTAGAAACATAAAGAAACTGTGCCAAAAGCCCGAGTGACTGAAGCACTCTGAGCATAAGAAATTCTGGATTAGGCGTGGACTTCTACAAATCAAGTTGGTCCTTGCTGCCTTCGGAAAGATGTTTGGCTTTTGTTCTAAAAGCAGTGAAGCTACCCAACGGTCTTAAGCAGATGCACGTCGACGCTGGGTGTCCGCTTTCACAGGACCACTCTGGCTAGCGAGAGTAGGAAAGGCAAACTCAGCAGTGCCGTGAATCAAAGAACGGTGGCCCAGCGAGGGTGCGATGACGGCAAATCCGCACCCCTGCGGCCCTACTCTGGGGCCAGGGGAGAGCCAGGCACAGGTACTGTGACCCAGCCCCGCAAACGGCAATAACCCGGCTAGAACGCAGAGCCAGGGTGGGCCTGGGACCTCGCTCTTCTGCGCGAGGGCGCTTCAAGCTGCCCCACGTGGACTCTGGAGAAAGGTTCCCGAGAGTCCCGAAGAGATGCACGAGTATGCCCACGTAATGCCCTTCAGCCAGAACCTTGGCGTTGAGGACAAGATGCTGGCTGCACCCAGGACTCCAAGGCGACCCCACCTTCCCAGCAAGCCCAGGGGGGCCTCACCCGCCGCGGAAACCAACCCGGCTTCCCTTAGCCTCCTTCACCACCTCGTCACGGCCAGCGTGCGGGGGCGGAACCTCACTGCGCCTGCGGAGCGTGCCGGGGGCGGGTCCCAAAGCGGAACTTGCAAGCTCTTCCGCCTCACCCCTGCGTTCCCACAATTCTCCGCGACAGCCGCTATGGAGGCTAGCAGGACAGCAGTGCTCCGGGTGAAGCGGAAGCGCAGTGCAGAGCCTGCTGAGGCTCTTGTGCTCGCCTGTAAACGCCTCCGGAGCGGCTCGGTCGAGTCTACCGCCCAGAAGGCGCCGGAGGGTCTGGAGAGAGCAGCGGAGAATAATGTCTTCCAGTTAGTGGCCACCGTGCGCTCCCAGGTATTGGGCGTGGATAGAGCCCGGTGTGGAGGGGATCTTAGGATAAAACTGCGATGAATCTTGATCCCTGACCTCCTCACAAACCCCTTCTTACGCCGGCCTCCTTCCTCTGCCGCCCCCCAGGAGGAACCAGTCCAGCCACTCCTGCGGGCTGCTCTGCACCCGTCCCGGGGCAGCCAGCAGCGTATCCGCCGCGATCTCCGTGCGTCGGCTTGGGAGACCCGGCAGGAGGGACGCTACCGGGTTATCTCCAGCCGCCGATCCTTGGGAACCACTGCGTGCGGCTTGGAGTCCAAATACGCTCTGGGGAACCCAGAAGCCGCCGGGGACTCAGGCTTTCAGCTATTCGACCTGGTCCACGAAGAGGAAGAACCTGAAGCCGCAACTGCGGACTCCTCCAAAGTAAGTATGCACCCGGAGGTGGGCACTGGATGTCTCGCAACGATATGCCTAGAGTCTGAGCCCGAGAGCAGCACACAGCTTCACCTTAGGGGAATAGATGATCCATCTGGCATAATGGTCTCATCTTACAGGTTTGGTTATTCATGCATTTACTGAGCACTTACTATGTGCCAGGTATTGGTCTTAGATTCTGTGGATACAGCAGTGAGGACCTAACATTCACGTAGAGGAGAAAAACAGTAAACAAGTAAATTCAGTGTAAAACGTTGATAAAGGCTGTAAGGGGGATAGGGGCAGGAAGAGTGGTGCCATTTCAGTAAGAGTCTCACTGAGAAAATGACATTTGGGTGAAGACCTGAAGATGGCAAGGCATTGTGTATATGGAGAGGCCTTACAAGCAGAGAACCTGCAAGGGCAGAAGCCGAGTTTGCCTGGTGTGTTTGCAGGATCAGTGTGCCAGAATTCCAGTAGGCTGGAGAAGAGTTGTAAGGAATTTGGGGCAAGATGCCTGCTAGATATTGACTTTCTGTTCTTATGACATCATTTTAAATAACCTTCATAAAAACAAATAAGAATAGTTTTAGGTTTTCAGAATACTTGCAACAATAGTAGAACAAGTTCCTGAATACTTTTTACCCAGTTAATATCTTACATGATTATGGTGCATTTGTCAAAACTAAGAAACCAACATTGGTGACATTGCCGTTAACTGAACTCCATAGTTTACTTGATTTTTATTCGTTTCTTCCTAATGATCTTTTTGTGTACCAGGATCCCATCCAGAATACCATATTACATTTAGTTGTCATGTCTCCTTAGTTCCCTGTGTTCTGTGATTAGACATGCTTTCAAAAAAAATCTCTGGGCCTGGTTCGGTGGCTCAGCCTGTAATCCCAGCACTTTGGGAGGCCGAGGAGAATGGATTGCCTGAGCCCATGGGTTCAAGACCAGCCTGGGCAATTTGCTAAGACCTCATCTCTGTAATTAAAAAAAAAAAAAAAAAAAAAG